AAGCTCTTATGTTATCAATTGACTTTCGAATGGCTCTGGTGCAAACTCTTTCCCTGCCTAAAGTATATGAGACTGAGATTGAGCGAATTGAGGTAGACCCTGCAATCATTAACAGTTGCATGACTATCACTTTCTTTGATGATGACCTTTAGTTGAGCGAGAGATTTCATAACCAGCCTCTCTTTGTGATTGGTGAACTGCATGCATGCCCAATCAATCAGATCATGCTGGATGAAGGATCAGCATTGAATCTTATGCCTAAGAAAATACTCACTCGGATCGGGATAGGCGTTGAGCAGCTCGAGCCAACGAGCTTGACAGTTCGGGGATTCAACCAGTCGAGAGAGAAACCGACTGGTTTGTCCGTCTCAAGCTCAAAATTGGAGATTTGAATGCTTCCACACTGTTTTATGTGATACTTCTTACAACATTCTTCTGGGTCGTCCCTGGCTACATGATCATGGGGTTGTTCCATCTACACTCCATCAATGCTTCAAATATAGTCGAGATGGAAGGCAACACACGATTTATGCTGATAAAAGATTGTTTCCCATTGCTGAGTCGCACTATGCTGATGCGAAGTACTATTTCACAGATCCTATGCGATCTCAAGAGCTAATGTTGCCTATGAAAGCCACTACGAACCCTAACATGAGAGAGACTGTTGAAACCTCTCATGAAGATGTTGAGGATATGGTGGGATCACTTAATCACATGTTTCAAGAAGAGAAGAGGGGTGTAAAAGTGATTCCCTTGACCCCCATTGATGGAAATTTACCAAGTTCTCCAGTGGAAGTGATGACTCAAAGTCATAAAGGGGAAGCCTCATCCTACCTCACCTTCACAAGAACCCATTACAATGGTGGCTCAAACTGAGCAAGTCATGAAAGAAGAAATCACTGGCTTGACCACTCTAACACCGACAGTAACTTATGCTCATGGTGACGTGAAAGTGTTACGCATCCCCATTCCCTTTATAGAAGCTAACGTTGCTCGTCGAGCTGAGACTGACCAGATAGTTGACCAAAAGGTCTTGCACATTCCAGTCTCTCTAAGAGAGGTGAATGATGCTTACCTTACTCCCCAAGTCAACTATACACCAAATCAACCCAAGGTGTTGCAGATACCAGTGGTTTTGCATATTGAGGAGGATGATGCTCACCTCATACCACCAACCCCTTTCCAGCATGACCATTTCAAGGTCTTGCAAATCCCCAAGGTCTTCCATATCCCAGCCCTCCAATGGGAGGAGGATAATGCTTACCTCACCTCTTCAGCTCCATATCAGCAAAGCCGCCCTAAAGTCTTGCAAAGCCGCCCTAAAGTCTTGCAAATCCCCGAGGTCTTGCATGTCCTAATCCCTGAAAGGGAGGAGGATAGTGCTTACCTCACTCACCAAGCCAGCTACATGCATGACCCTCAAAAGGTCTTGCACTTCCCAACCCCTGTCATGGAGACCCAGGTTGCTAATGAAAACATGACATATAGTCCTCTTTCCCTCTCCAATGACTTCATTGGTACTCCCGAACAACGATATGAAGTTTAAAGAAAAGCTATTATTGCTGAGTTGAAAGAGCAGGTTCAAGATTTACTCAATCAGGTCGAAACCATAAGGAAGGGAAAAGTTAGGGTGAAGGAAGTGTCACCTCCAAGTTCTTTTTCAGTCCCTCTACCTGGTTTCATTCTAGAAACCAGGAATGCTGGTGCTCCAAAGAACTCTCAGGGTTTCTCTTCTACAGATGCCTCAGTGTTACCGCAATGGGATCTTTATAGTCCCAAAGCTCATCAGATTATGAAGAAAATGGACTATGAACCGATAAGAAATCAGGGGTTAAAAGACAGTAAAGGGATGCTAACACCCTTTGCAGTTATCGAGACCACAACATCTCAGCATACCCAAAAGAAGGGCCTTGGATATTCGGGGCACACTGGGCTACCTCCCAGATCACTCTTGACTGAGCAAATCTTACATGTGACGGTATCTCAAGAACCGCCATTATCTCCCCTTGAACAATCCTTCCTTGAGGAGTCTATTCCCCTGGAGTCTCAAGAAGAAGTAGAAGTTGCCCAAACTTCTCAAGAACCTAAGGGTTCAGGAATGAAGGAAATAAAAGAAGAATTGCTAGTCATCAAGCAAAAAGTTGAAGTTCTTAAAGCTGATGAAGGAACTTCTAACCCCTTACCCCTTGACGAGGAGGAAATAGAAGAGGTACTGGAAGTCTTCGAAGATGGTGGTCAAGCCACAACTGATGATTTAGAAGAGGTAAACTTGGGTGATGAAACTGACCCAAGGCCAACCTTCATCTCAGCTATTATGCCTCCTAAAGAGATGCCCGGTCGAGACCCCAATGTCACAGTTCATATGTTAGGGATTGATCCATCCTTTAAGCATGTTAAGCAAAAATCAAAAAGGTTCCGAGCTGATCTTGAGACACAGATTGAGGCTGAAGTGAACAAGCTTAAGACAACAAATTTCATCGAAGAAGTCAAATACCCAAGGTGGTTGGCCAATGTTGTACTAGTCGAGAAGAATAATGGTCAGATCCGAGTCTGTATTGACTTCCGTGATTTGAATGTAGCTTGTCCTAAAGATGACTTTCCCCATCACTTCACTGAAATACTGATTGATTCAACAGCCAATTGCCAGCCCTTCTCCTTCATGGACGGTAATTCAAGTTATAACCAGATAAGGATGGCACCTGAAGATGAAGAGTCTACTACCTTTCTAACTCCCAAAGGGGTTTTCTGCTATACGGTGATGCCCTTCAGTCTCAAGAATGCCGGAGCCAGCTACCAAAGGGCTATGACCACTATCTTGAAAGATATGTTGCATAAAGAAGTGGAATGCTACGTAGATGATCTCGTAGTAAAGTCCAATGAGAGAAGCAATCATATCCAAAATCTTGAAAAAGTCTTTGAAAGACTTCGTCTGCACCAACTCAAGATGAATCCCTTGAAGTGTGCCTTTGGTGTCAAATTGTTGATCTCGTAGTAAAGCACACTTCAAGGCCTTGAATCACTCAGGAATAACTCACAAATAAGTCCAAAAAATTATAGCGTTCCTTAGGCTACAGTCAACCATTAGCCATCTAGTTGCTTAAGGGAGGTCAAGGATTGGAAAGTTATCAAATTGCTTGAAGCCTGCTTTAAGAGCAGTGGGTTGGTGCTTCAGGCAAAATGGTGAAGTCTTGAGGTATTTTCTAGAAAGATATGCACATACGAATATTTGTACCATTTTCCCCCTTTTTGTTGTGCCATCTTTCTTTTTTCTTTGATCGCTTGGATGAGATCTACATGTGTGCAAAATTTAGGGTCCAACAAACCCCTCTAGCACAAAGTGGCTTATGCTACAATCTAAGCCTGTGGGCTTATAGAATCTTTTTATATACATAATACATACATATCAGGTTTTGTTTGAAGAGGCCAAAGAATTTGCCGAAGCAGACCCTGGTTTGGTTTGGAGTTTGGAAAGTGGTTTGCTTCAATTTGGATGGAGGAGCTGCAGACAACGGCCTCTTACAGCAAAAGCTAAGGGAATCAACTAACATTGCTCCTCTCAAGTCTGTGCTGAAAACACATCATGCTAATGTCATCCCTCTAGCACTTATAGGGATTCAAATTTCTCTGTTACACCAAGTGGATTTCTAATATACAATAGATAGGTTATCCAGACAGATATTAAGGTGAAACTCAGTTCCAACATTTGAATCATTGTCACAAGGTGTTTTGCCCTAGGGCAACCACCACACCCCGTACATTACCAAGGGTTTTCATTTTGACTTCTATGTTATCACTTATTCAAGTTTTGCTGATAACAACTTGAAGGATATTGCATGAAATAAAGGAATACAAGAAAAAGGAAAATCCTCTCTAAATCTTGGGTGTTTAGGGCCTTTAAACACCATTAATATGTTTGGGAGCTTAAAAAAACATAGCAAAAAAACAAAATGACCAACATACTAGGTCAGAATCTTAAAAGTTCAACCTTGAACACCAGCTTTGTCAGAATTAAGGTTGTAAGGGTGGACTGTACCAGTAGGTCTGGTCCCTTGTTCAAAAGGTCATACTGGCAAATGTGGTAGGTCATACTGGCAAATGTGGTCTACTCAGGTCTTTTTAACACCATTATAAGCAAGATGAAACCCAAAAATGGGAAGGGACAAGTCCTTTATAAATCAAGCAGGTCAGAGTTTGTCACACAAGTCTTTGTAAATGGTGTGAGAGTCAGCAATAAAATTCTGTATCTTGATACAAATGGTGTTGTGCACCATGCCTCCAGTAAGTTTCAGGTAAACTATGAGTCTGATTGGTTCTTTAAGCTTTCTAGATACCGCAATAGTGACTTCACATAAGAGATGTGCTAAAGCATGTACTAACTAGATGCTCTCTTCACATAGGAAAGGTAACATGCCAAGGGCTCAAGGCCATAGAAACAAGCCTGGGTGGTAGCAAAACGAAGAAGCAAAACCCCAAAGAAAAGTCACAACAGAATATAAACAAATATTCATAAATAATTACTTAAAATATGGAGAAATAATACATCCGATTGCAGAAATGAAATTTTAAAAAGTGGCCAATTCATGAATCGGAAATAGGAGAGATATAACACAGTGAAAAGTTTCAGACAAAGAAACAATGGGTTGAAATACTGATCTCAATAAGAGATACATCCATCATGGATTCAATGGCTATGAGTGAAGCATGAGCACAGCGCAGAGCACTCAATTGTTGTAACCCCTTCAAATTTCATTACTTGGAAAACCAGGTAAACAGAGGTAAGATCATGTGATTTGAATACCCATGTAAAAAATAAACTTCAGGCCTGGAGATATGCCCAGAAAAGCCCCATATATGACCAAAAATTGAACCAAATACGTTTAATGCTATTCTTGAGCTTGGAGAATATACCAATATATGTCCACACTGCCAATATTAAATAAATTTATGATGAACCAAAAAGCAGCTAAAGTGACAAATTTTAATGAGTCCATCACACTAACCATTGATGATGAATTCCGAGAACCAGATCTCTCAGAGTACCAATAAGCACGGGAAGCCTCCAAAACTTCAACAGAGAGAACAGCACCAGCAACAGCCCCTAATCCAGCTCCCCGGAGAACACCACTATCAGAAGCACGGCCGGCCAATGCACCAGTGACTGCTCCTGTGAATGCTCCAGCTGCAAACAATGAAAATCATTAATAGTAACCAAACATGGTATCTGAAGATTATTTAATAGTCCGTGTTATATAGCCATTTCGTCTAAGCCAAAAGAAAAATTATATTACAGTCATCATTCCAATTAGAGGACATATGAAATGAAACATAGAAATTACAAGTACCATGAGTGTGGCCACAATGACAGGTGAGTTAAAATCCATGGGTAATGAACTAATGATCCCTCCCCTGGGTTACATCTTGGACCAATCTGAGTATGAGAGAGCTTGAGAAACAGATAGGCTTTCTTTTGAATTTTCAAATAGATGCCTCGTTCATTACCATGGGATCTTTATGTACGAGACAGGTGGGAGCAGACAATAATTATAGAAATTTACTTGCAAAGGGAATGAGTCAAATAGCATGCTTGATGATATAATGTAGAGACTTTTGCGCTAGATACAACAAAATTCAGAACTGATCTTTTTCTTTTTTTCTGGTAAGCCGAAAGCTAAAGAATGACTTAAACTGACAGGTAATCTTGCTCAACAAGAAAAAAAAGATCCGTCAAAGGCATGAGGCATTGATGAGAGTGAAATGATTTAGCATCAAATTCAGAGAGTCAATATACATAAAATTTTCAGTGGTCTATGCATATGACCATCCAACATGAGAAGCTACTTCGACATTATGAAATTGCTGATGATTGTTCTAGGGGATGCACTCCAAATATGAGTTGTTCCTGAAAACTCAAATAATATACCTTTTTAGTTATGGACCCAGTTTAACAAGTCCGAGGAAGCAATAAATTACTGGATGAAAGCATTAACCAAAAAATATTTTTTAGTTTATAATCTTTATTTTTATGGATGAGTGAGATTTATCCTTAAAGAAAAGCAAAAGAGTTAAAGAAATGCCCTGAAAGATTCTATCTTTTGAGTGGCTGTGAGGCAATGAAAATCTTCACTCTATTTCTGAGCATTGTTTTGGCGATATTTACAAAACATAGATATTGTTATTCCTCTCTCCTCTCTCCAAAATCCCTTGACATAATAACCAAGGTATGAGAGAAGCAACAATTTTCCACAATACCAATAAGACACTGAAAAGGCCAGAGAAAAAGATACAGATTGATCTCACATGATCTTCATATGAACGACCTCCCTACACGAGATACAGAGTTTGGCAAGTGGATACACTGATACTTGAGGTTAAGCTCAATCTTCTCCAAAGTCCTTATGCATCCAAAGGCCAAGACCGTTGGGAAACCTAGGATGTTGTAGAAGAAACAATAATGGGAAGGATCAACATCAACAGCATCAAGTGTCATACAAAATGACCTGAGAATGGAGAATTCAAAGGCTGTAATGATATGTTAACAATACACCAACGCTCGGATATGACCGTCAGTGTCAGACACGTATCGGAAGTGTCATACATGTAAATCCCCAATCAAGACATGGAGCTGAATTCTACATACGGTTTTTATAATTACTAAAACAGCTACAAGATATTAGTTCTTACGGATTTCCTCCCATCTGTCAGGCACGACAACCTCGTGAACAATATTCGCTTCTCTCCTTAGTGAAACCAAGGATGAAGCTTTTTCATCAATTTGGACCCCTGGCATTCACTTTTTCGAGTAATGTTGAAGTTTGTTTAAGAATCTGTTATGGATAGTTTTCCAACTCGCTCAGTATTAATATAAAAGATACTTTACATCTTCCACCCAAAGCCATGCATTACTTTATTCTTCTTTATTGAAAATCCAGGGACCCATTCAATCTCTTTTTAACATTTTCTGTAATTCATTTGCCTTAAACCTACATCTTTTTCACCTCGATCGTATCTGCATGTATCACCAAATAAATAAAGATGGAGTTACAAGTATTTCATTGTCATTTTTTTCATACGTATCAACCCTTCCCAGAGAGTAATTGAAGCTATACAATTGAAACAGGCTACTGCTAGCATCCACAACTTTAGTGGAAGACAGAAAATAAAAGTGCGACACGGCTACAAAATGGAAGAAAAAAAAAAAACAGAACCTTCAATTTCCCCAGCCAAACAAAATGCCCCTCTCGAATGAAAGAATTGGTGGTCTAGATACAGTTACCTATAGCAAAAATTCCAGTAAGAGCTCCAGAAAGTGCACCAGCAATCAAGCCTGGGAGATAAAAACGAGAACTGTCTCTCTGCTGTCTCACCCCATCGTCAGCCCTCGCAGGGGCAGAAGTTGAAGAAGAAGAGAAAGGCACCACAATTGGATTCGGAGCCACCCCTGGATTCTGCATCATCATCATTGTCGTCACTGAAGAATTAGCATAGGGTGCGCCGCAGAGGGTACAAGAGCGGGAGTCGTTGTCGTTGTTCCTAAAGGTACACCAGTCACAAATCCATACCGCCATCTCATCCTCTGCTCTGCAGGGGATAGGAAATGGGAATAATGATCATAAAATTCTCAGCTCCTCTCCCCTCCGCTCCGCTCCGCTCTGCTCAAATTGATAATGATAGATCACTCACCGATTGGGATGAAAGTCTCGTGGATTCTATGATGAATCTAAAAGCTTGAGATCGGAAAAGGTAGTGGTGAAAAAATCTCATCTACGTGGCTTTGGGGCTTTTAATATATCACATGCTGCTGGTACAAGGTAAAATGAAATAGCACGCTCGTAACGGAGAGATCAAATAGCTTTAAGGGCGGCTTCACGACTCATGAAGAGAGATTCCAGTTTTGACAAATGATCGGAGATTGTACCTTCCTTTGGACTTGAGCCTTTTTATATTACCATAACGTTACAACCTTAACAAGGCGCACCTCCAAATTTTACCGCTGATGTAAAAATAGTTTTAATATTATTTTAAAATCTACTAATTATAAAATTTTAAACTCTAAAAATAATTAAAATCAAGTAGATATATAAATATATGAAAATCTTAAAAATTGTCGATCTAGATAATGTGTTGTAAGGTGCTTCTCTCAAAATCTTTTATTTTTTCATAATCATACAACTCGACGATGTCTAGATAATCAATTAGAGAGTTTTTCAATATCAAAATAACTTTTTCTAACGGATTTTTGAAGTGCATTTTGGAATTGCATCCTTCCATGAACTTCTTCCTTTTTTTACAGATGGAATGGAAGGACAAGTGTTAAAGATGGGTGATGAAATAAATGGGGAAGGTGGAAGTGAAGGGGCCGGCAAAGTTATGCTTCGCATTGGGCCACGTGTTCCCCGTGAGTGGCAAGTTGCTTTTGAAATCACTTGTTCGCACAGTTTTACTCTTACTCGGTCATTAAAAATATATCTGATGGGCACGGAATGCCCAATCCGACTTACAAATCCGTCGTTTATGTCAATATATAGAAAATTGTTCGGGTGAACCAGCGATTTGTGATAGGAAATGGCATTTTGTTACAATAAAAATGTCGATTTATGGATTCGAATAGGTTTTTTTTGTCGATTCATTATTTTTTTCGTGCATTAAAACAATGATCTGGACTGATTTTTGCGATGCTCGCATAGTTTGGTATAATAATTATGATATATCATTCAAAAATTCCATATTCGTAGAAAAACCTGTTTACAGTTCCATATATGTGTCAATACTTGTTCCTTTGCCCAGAAAGAGAAAGAAATAGAAAACTAAAAATGAGCATCGATTCACAAATGAGGGTAAAATCTTCAAACTACGGGAGGAATGACCACAAAAAAATAACCCTCTTTATTAATAACTTGGGCCAAATACTCTGCGGTCCCAACAAGTGGTACCGAATACCTGAGATCGCAAACCAAAAAGACCATATCAATATATTTGAACTAATGCTCCAACAAATCAGTGCTCCCTCTTAAAGGGGCGTTGTTTTATTTTTTATTTTTGATAGAATAGTTTAGCATTTTGAATCTTGCACACAAAACCAACGGCTTTTTTTGGGAAAAAGTATTTCCCCAACGGAATCTATTATACCTACTTTTGGTTAGCAACACTCTCTTTCATGCGCAAGGAAGCAACCGCATAGGTATTGTTTTAGCTTGTACGAGATTTTGTGATGTTCTCAATTAATTAAGTGCAATTTTTCTTTTCTAAAGTTAAATTTTAATCTTCTTTTTTTCTTTCACTCCTTTCCAAAAGCTAATTTTCTATAAACCGTGAGAATAATAATAACTTAATCTAATTAGTGTCATCGTATTTCTTTGCCATGGGAGGGAAACTTAACATGACTTTCTTTCTCCATTTTAGTGTAACCATAAGAGGAATGCCTTTTGATAACCAGCTAATACCCAACATTGATTCTCCCCCATTTGATTTATCAATAAAAGAAACTCATCCTCTCATTTGGGATCAATACATGGATTTCCCTTTATATATCTCACCGTTCTATCACAAACTGTATGCATGAGGATTGTGACCTCCGTGTAACAAAACTTATTCCATTAGTAAATAAGTCATAGATAGATATATATAATAATTTCGAATTTCATGACACACTCCAAAGCATCAAATTTGATTAGAAATAATTGTGATCCCCTTATAACAAAACGAAAAAAACCTTATAGTATACAATCCCTAATATTAAATATTCCTCAATTTGTATGCCATTCAAATGCCTTCTAATTTTCATATTATAAGCTCATGTGTGAATTTTTGTGTTCTCCTATCTTTCTTTAAATACCCAAATTAAGGAACTTCGAGTTTTGAATTGTTGTCCTTTTCTTTGTTGAGTCACGTATCGATTCAAAACTTGAGCTTTTTAACTTACTTTTTTGAAAAATAAGTGGTTTGAAACTTGAAATTTTGAACTCCTTATTCATTGAAAGAATGCAAATGTCTATTTTTTAGACCATTACAGTAGTTAAAATGCCGTGATATATTTTATGGTCATCACGGGATTTAAAAATCGTAACACTTTTCATGGTCATTATAATATTTTAAATGCTGTGATATCTTCACGGTCATACGACTAAAGTGAAAGTTATTTTGGTTAAAAAAAAGTGAAAAGTGAAAAATCATAATTTTTTATGTGTTATTATAGATATTCTCACAAAAAATTATAATTCATGCCCATGCCCTTTTGTTTCTCCCTCTTTTGCCCTGAAATGGGAAGTGGTAAATAAATTTTGGACCTGGTTTCTAGGCGGCCAAGCCCGTATATGTAGAAATGCGGGCCTCTTAATAAGTCTATTTTTGAGATAGATTTTAAGACTTAATTTTTAAAAACATGTAATCTCTAACATGAGATCATGAATATGAAAACATACATAAGTTTTAAAAACTATAAATAATAATAATAATAAGAAAACATTTAAACCGTTAGTTTCCATTGTTTTTAAATGAAACAAAAGATGGATGCTTAACACTTTCCAGACCGCATATGTAGAAATGCGGTCCAACCCGCATGACATAATTTTCCATAAATTTTTGGCTTCAAAATTTGAAGTTTTGAACTCACGAAATAAAAGCGTCCTCACTTTCGACCATGAAGATCTGAAGTAGAAAAATACTTCATTGGACCTTCGAAGTTCGAAACAAGGGCATTTCGACAAAAACTTAAAAAAACCAAAGAGAAAAATAAGATCACAAAATTTTGGAGAGAACTGCATACTTAAAAGAGGCATGAGCGTAAATTTCTTCAACTTAATACACTGGCATTATTTGCAAGGCACGTTGCGATTATCTGCCAAACCCCATCCAGCAAAGGAGGTTTTCTTTTTCAATCCCAAATTCCAATTCCCGTTTCAGAAGCTCAATCTCTCTATTTCCCAGCAGATCTGGTGGGTTGCAGAGACAATTGATTAATCTGAGTAGTAGTAGTAATAGTAAGGATGTGTAGATTTTGGGGCTTTCTCCCTCTCCTTGTGCTTGTATTGTTTCCTTGGGAGGGTCTGAGCCTCCGCTTTGATTTAAAATCGGGTAGTTCAAAATGCATAGCCGAAGACATCCAGATCAATGCCATGGCTGTCGGTCATTACAGCGTCGTTGACCTTCAAGAGGGACAGCCCACACCCGATTCTCACAAGATCACCGTCCGGGTATTACATATTAATCTTTTCCTTTTCTCTCTTACACTTCATCGCCTTATCAATCTTTTGATTTTGATTATTGTTGCTGTGTTTCTTCCACTTGTATTTCTGGTGGACTGATCTGCGAGACTTATGAACCTAGGTTACGTCCCCTTATGGAAACAGTCTTCATTATGGGGACCATGTGGATTCTGGTCAATTTTCCTTTACATCGACTGAGGCCGGGGACTACATGGCTTGCTTTTGGGCGGCCGACCACAAGCCCCCTGAAACCCTCACAATTGAGTTTGACTGGAGGACTGGAGTCGCTGCCAAGGACTGGCCCAACGTTGCCAAGAAAGGCCAGATCGACGTGAGTTTCCTCTCTCTCTCTCT